AAAAAAACACATTACGTACTGGTCTTAAACAAGAAGCGTTAAACGCAATTATGAACATCTACCTAAATGCAAAACCCCTTTCAGATTTCTGTGCAGAAACCTCTGTAAATCATTGCCTTGATTGTGAAACTGGCAAACGTCATATTTGTTTCATTTAAAAAATGAAGTACCTTCGGATAAATTGACATTCCAGATAACTTGACTTTTGTCATTTAAATTATTTCATAAAAGAAATAAATTATTTCATAAAAGAAATACTAGGTTTTACTATTAATAACCTAGTATTTGTAATCCTAGTAACTACTAATTCATTGTGCAATTTATATAAATGCTTGTAATAAATAAGAGAAAATGATATCTTTATTTAATTAGAAGCTACGTAATAGCTTCAAAGGAGGACGGGTACATTGTTGGACAAGCCGTCCTCGGGGACGGGTAAAATTTCTGACTTTCTTCGAGCCCTGGGTCCCTGTCATAAACTTATGGAATTCAAACCAGTTAATAAACAAATTAATATATCAAGTTATTTGTGCTATATTTAACCTGTCCAAAAATACAGTAAGTTACAATAACTTTTTCAGAATACTTTTTTGATGGTAAACTATATACTGTTAAAATTTTTCGCTAATAATTTTTCTTATGCAAAAAAGGTGAAAATTCATCTGATTTTACATAATTCTTGAATAAACTAACATGTATGTTAAAAATAACTAAAACAGGGTAGCCACCCACCTTGAAAACCTGCAATTGTTAGGGAATCCTTATACTGGAAAAATCAGGGAAATTTGGATAAAAATTGGAAAAATCAGGGAATTTCAAAGAAAGGCTGGAATTTTTTTCTTAATTTAAATTATTTTACCATCCGTTAAAATTGATCAATGAAGTTTCTATATATTTTTATTTTATTAAGTTTTTTTATTTGAGGTAAGCAACTCAGTTTTAATTTTTTGAGAAACAATTTAACTTCATTTCGAACATTTTAAAGCAATCATTTTGCTTGAAAAATGTATGTATTTATTAAAAAAAATTTTCAGAACATTCTGTAGTTATTCATTTTTTTCAGTAAAGAAAGAAATTAGTATTTTTTGAAAAAAAAAAAAAAGAAAAAAGAAAACCTACTTGCATAGCAAGCTACAACAATAACACTAATCCTTTTCAATTTTTAGTTAAATGGGACAAAAAATTGTTAGTAAATTGGTAAAACAAACTGGAGAGAAGGGTATTAAAAAAACATAAAATTTATTTTGGAATTCATATAAATTTTTTTTAAATATATATTTGGCACATTTCTAATGCTACAATTGGGTACATATGCTCCTTCTTCTTTACCACTAGTTGTGCTACTAAATACAAGTAAAAGGTGTATCAGTTGATATCGTCTGCTTTGAAACATCAAATACGATAGATTGTAAGAACTGCACGAAACGATTATTTAATTTAATGTAAGCGATAAATAAAGCTATTAAATTATAATTTTTTCTACACGAAACAATCTTTTTTTCCGAGATCTTTTTTTCTTTTTTTTATAGGCTTATAATACATTAAAAAAAAATTGTTTTCTTTCCTTTTAATGTACAGTGACTTTTTTTTCAATAGATTTTTTTATTGTATCTAAAAATAATGAAACTTTTCAGCATTTTTCCTATGTATATATATATTTAAGAAAAATTGCAATCCTTTTAATCCAGGGTTTTTAAAATTGTCAAATTTAAGGAAATATTGCTTAAATATGAGTTCTATTTACACTATTGTTAATATAGGTTGCACAGTTAAAACTAAAATGAATGATTTTTAACTAACTTTTACAAAACGAAAAATTTTATAAAACACATTGATCCATCTATTCCAACAGAAAATAGAAGGCAATTGAAATATAAAGAAGCTATTTAGTTAAAAAAAATAATGCTTATAGTTTTAAGATTTAAATTAAAGTAATTTTCAGTCATTATAATGGTTATCATTAACTTAAATTTATGTCCAACTTGAAAAATTTACATCTGACTCTGAAGTAAAAAATTTGAAATTAATTATTTATCATATTTTACAAGTTTAGAACTGCATAGAATTTTTTATTCAAATGTCAGCTTCAAAGTTGAGTCAAGTTTACATTTAAATTACAGACATATTTGCAGAGTTTAGACAGTTTGTAAAGGAGTAATCATTTTTTGCTTTATTGCAATTTACATCCTACACCGACAATTTAATTCATTTAATTTGAACTTATTATAATCAGTTTTTATAAACAAATTGTTTTTTGATAGATTAGAATGTACTAAAAATTTGATGATTATAAACTTACGTTTTATAATATAGTTTTTGTACGAAATTTATGTTCATTTTTTACATCCCACACCATGGAATTGCTTAGTTGTAAAAACAAAAACAATTTACTAATTTAAACTAAGGAACAATGTGGTTAGATTAGAATTCTTTAAATATTTTAATTTCAAATAAGAAAAAAAAAATTTAAAGAATTTTATCTACTTTTGCTCTATAGTATATGCAGCAAGAAATTTGACAATTTTGTATTTGTGAATATTGAATATCTCTTAAAATAATAGTGCTAATAAAGTACAAACAACATTATTTAAACAATTGACTTTTGATAATGGTTTAAAGAAAATTATATCAATGAATTTTATAAAGAACACTGTTTGAATGAAATACAGTATAAAATGACTCTATATTGAAATTTAAATAAATATAAAGACTTATTGATGTATTATCACCTGGAAATATTTTCTTATGCTTAATGAAAATATATTAATTATATTGTTAAATATATATAGACTATTGAAGAAATTTTGGTGATAAGATATCCACTGGTGGCAAAAATACAGCAGATAGTGCTATTGCCAGTACTGCAATATGTTGAGTGTTAATACAGTCGAACCCCGCTATAGTGAACCGTCTGCGGACTCAGTAATNCTATAGCGGGGTTCGACTGTAGTTTAAGTAATTATAAATAATGGTGTAAAAAATTTTTCTTTAAATTCAGATTATATACTTTTTTTTTCCTTCTGTGTATGTAAATGTTTATATTATTTCCAATTTTGAGTTTCTCTTTTTGACTTACATGATTATGCATCAAAACTTTACTCGTAGCCAAAAAAATGTCGCTAGTAAAATCTTTGTTATTTTATTTTTCCAATGTTAGCAGGTATGCATTTTTCCTACTGAAATAATAATTTGTGACTCTGTTTTGTATTCTTTTCTGAGGAATCGTAAAATAAAATTTAGAATAGACATTAGATTATAAAATTATATCACAGGTATACTATACTTTTTAATATATCTTTATTATACATCTTTTTGAAGATTGCCCATTCATATGTTCACAAAATAATTGTTCTCTCCTGATGTTACTTAGTGTTTTTATATACTTATTTATAGTTTGTCTAAAGTAGGAACTCCCCAAGCCATATGTCTGGACCTGTGGCAATGACTATAACGAGGTATAGTCACTGCCAAGTAGGGGTGTAGCATCTCTGTTTAGGAAGAGAGAATGGTAATATTTTTCTTCTGTCTATTGGGTTAGCCATAGAGTGAAGAAAAGCTACCCTCCCTGAAATACACTATTCTTGTTTCCATAACAGCCTCAGACTTTGTGGCAGGAGGAGTTCTTACCATAGACAAACTATACAACAGGGCATCAGAGTAACTTACCTTAATCTTTCAAGAGCCAACTTGAGTTATTTACTCTAAAGCTCAAAATTAATAACAATTTGTTATCTTTGAAAATACTCATCTAATATATGTATACTTTCTCTTTTGAATTTCAGTAAATCATATTAGTTTCAGAATTTACGCAAGTAATCATTGGGTTATTTTTTATTTATATTATTTTTATCACCTTACCTGTGCACCTAACATTTTAACCTCTGTCTCTTTTACAAACAGGATATCTACGCACCTGGAAAATCATGAGAAATCATGGAAAGTCATGGATTTCTGTATTGAACAAAATTTGTCATAAAATTTCATGATTTTAACTATTTTTTGAAAATAAAAAAAATCATCGAAAGTTATGGATTTAGGTTGCCAAAAAATCTAATTCCACTGAAAAATCTATATTATCACCGTGTTCTGAATATCTGAATTTGTAACAAAATCCCCACTCATAGTCATATTTTATTAAAATATAAAATGTTTTTATCCTGTTCTTTAAAAATTATGGTGTGCTTTCAAAAATTGAAAGAAAGAACATCATTTCTAGAGCAAAATTTCTTTTAAAATTCTCTTTTAGAATTTTTATTTGATCAATTTAAAATTCTGGTTTATGCTATTTATATTACACTTTCTTTTAAGAAGAAATAAAACAGATTTAAATATCTACATATATCTGACTGTATTAAGTTATTTGTTTATGTATATATATATTTTTTTAGCTATTTTATTGCTTCAACTCTTTCTTTACTTTGTTTTTTAAATTTGAAATCTATAAATATGAAGATACTGAGTATAACAGTTTTGTTTATTCCCATCATTTAAATTAATATTATAATGCTTTTTTAAATCGATTGTTGTGTTTTTGTCGGAGAAACTTCGTTAAGTCGTGAAAAATTCTTAGAATTAGTTATGGAAAGTCTTGAATTTGAAAATCTAAAATATAGCAGATACCTTGTACAAACCTTTGAATTTCAGTAAATCATATTAGTTTTCAGTAATTAACACAAATAATCATTATTACAGTACTTTACCTGTACACCTGACATTTCAACCTCTGTCACTGTTCCGATGGCAGTTGTACACTGCTCAGGCCATGAGATCCCGATGGACTTCTTTCCTTGGTCAAGATCTGATGGAAGAGAGTGACGACGATCAAGATTCGATGAAGGAAGCTCTATTGGAGACTTCTCCCTACCTTCTTGGACTCACCTTTGTTGTTTCTATTGTACACAGCATCTTTGAGTTCCTTGCTTTTAAAAATGGTATGTATTAACTATGTTGTCTCTCGAATTTTTGCTGATCAAGGAGACCAAATTTAACTAAATAGCAAATTTTATTTTTCTTGTTATTTTCATTCTTCCTCCCCCTGTCACAAAATTCTATAAATTCCCTTGTTATTAAGCTAGGAGTCTACCTCTTACACATGGGTGGCCACTCTTCAGTCCTGAGAGAAAGTCAATAGATTAAGTTTCAAAAATTAATATTTTTCTATTTGTTTGTAATATTAAAATTTTTGTTTTTCCTGAAAAATGCAACAAATATTTTCTGTTTAAATAAAAATTGTATTTTAATGTTAACATTGTTAACTGTAATTATTGCAAAATGATCAAGTAATGGTATTGCTCATTAGTAAAGATGAGATTGAAATTCAATACTTGCCTGCTTAAACAATATTCGGAATATTGTTGTATCTAAATTTTCTTGTTTTTATTTTTTGCCAATGTTTTGAAATGCTGGCAGAAGTAAAATTTAGATTATATATATATATATATATATATATATATATTTATATATATTGAAAAAGAGAAATTTATAGAGATAGAACAAAATATGAATAATGATGATGTGAAAAACTAAGTAGAGATATGTAAAGAAAAAATGAGTGGTTTATAATTCAGTAATTGATATAAAAAGATGTACATGGTTAGTTGTTATTTTTATCTTGTTTGTTGTAAAAAATTAGATATTGGATTTAATATCCTTATAGAAAGTACATTTTGGAATCTGAGCTATAAATTTCTGAAAATTCAAATGTGTTAATTGGTCAGAAAAATAAATTCAGTCTTAAAATACTTTTAGAGTGTATGCTCTTACTTGGTGCATAGCGTTTTTAAAAAGTACTTAAAGGAGCTTATTTTCGACATCCGTTTTTAGAAGCCCTTAAAGGTACTAACTATTTTCATTGGGTATTTTTAAAGGGTTCTTAGTTTTCTCTTTTTGAAAATGATATATTTTTTCTTTACCATGTCGATTTTCGCCACATATATGCAAAAGCGGGCTTTTCATATTGTTTTATTCAAGGTTTTCACAATTCTATTTTTTGGCAATTACGAATATTTTTAATTATTTTTTTATTGTGAGGATTATTTACAAAATGCAAGGAAGGAAATAATTTGTGCGTTCGCTCCAAACAAAATGCAAGAATATCACCCATAATATTAAAATAAAAAACTATTGCATGTTCAATAAAAAATATTGTTTTTTTTTTGTAAATGCAATTTTTATTTTATTTTAAATTAGTAACATAAATGTTTGTTATTATTAAAAGTATCTTGCAGAATGATATTAGTGCTAGAGAGTTTTGTCATAGATAGCTCGAAAAAATTCTGCCACATGGACCACAATCTATTTTGGCGTACCATCGGTTCATTTGTCTGTTTTTAAAAAGTGCTTGATTTTTCCCTTTTTGAAATTTAGATTTTTTTTTCTGTACCATGTCGATTTTCACCAGCAAAAGCGTGCTTTTCGCATTGTTCTATGCAATGTTTTCACAATTCATTCAACCACAATCTCTATTTTATGAATAAATGCTCTCTAGCTCTATTATATGAATGAAAGATTCCTTAAATGAAGTGCATAAATAATTAATAAAATTTATGCTCTTCTTTAAATAAAAAGTTAATAAAATTATTAAAAATATTGTGCTGTTTTTAATAACTTTTTATTTTATTACCTACGTAAAATTTTCACCTGTTTATATCATTTTAGTGCATTAACACTTTTGTCTGATTTTATTCACTTTTGAAAGCATTTGTGTATACAAGTCAAAATTCTTGATGGTGCCATCAAAAAATTTTGATGGTTTATGTTGATTTCAGTGTGATTCATGATGGTTCAATATCATTTGATGATCTCCAACATTTTCCATTAAGCGTTCATAGTTTTTGATATACCAACAATTTCCATCATGGAATAATGAAAAATGCTTCTATGATGGTTAACTCTCTATGATAGTTAACCATTAAGAGAATTTTGATTCTCTTGGACCAATGATTCATGATGATGGTTCCAACTAGACATTTCCATGATGGTTTAATGGGAATTCTTGCTGGTTCTTAGGAATATACCATCAGAACAATTTTTTTTTTATGTTGGTCCATCATCAATCATTCCAAACTCCTACATTGGGATGATGGTTGTTCATGATTGTTCCAACATTTGATTTCTAAGAAACTATGATGGAAATTTCTGATTTTTCAACCTGAACAAACCATCAAAACAAGTTGCTATTCTTATGTTATGCCATCATAAATCAGTCTGAATTCCTACATTGGGTTGATGATTACTTATGTTGTTTACCATCAAAAAATGGTTCATGATAGAATTGTTGATGGTTACCATCAAAAATTTTGACTTGTGTATTATGTACCGTTTTTTTTTTTAAAGATAATTTGCACTGTGTATCTTACCTTTTGATTTGCTTTACAAACAGTTTGGTACATCATGTCCTTTTTGAATCCTATATTCAGATTAATTTTTTTCTTTCAGATATTCAGTTTTGGAACAACAGAAAATCCCTTGAAGGCTTATCAGTGCGTTCTGTTTTCTTCAATGTTTTTCAGTCAGTGGTTGTTCTCCTTTATGTTTTAGATAATGATACTAATATGGTTGTGAGAATATCTGTGTTTGTTGGACTTCTCATTGAAATATGGAAAATTCATAAAGTGTCAAATATTGAAATTAACCGAGAGCAAAAGCTCTTTGGTATAATACCTAAAATAAAAATTACAGACAAAGGTTCATATGTGGAATCTTCTACGAAACAGTATGACATAGTAAGTATAACTTAATTTATTTTTATTTCTTTTTTTATAAGAAATTTTTTTCACTTTTTAAGTATTTACAGTTTAGACACACTTGTTCTAAAAAAATTGTCCTCTCACTAAAATTGTCCATTTATTGGAAGGGTACAGTAACAATAATATTTAACACCATATATTGTTTTCAGAATAATTGCAATGATATAGAAATAATCTATAATAACAATTTGCATTGATATTTATTTGAACTTTAAAAATTAAAATCTTTATAATACAAAGAGAAAAGATAAAGAAATTTCATATGTATACACCCTGTGGGAGAATTGCAGCAACATTGTCATAGAACTTCATAGAGTTCCTGCAGAAAGACATTTCCTCTTAAAAAGTTTTAATCGTAATTAATTAAAATTTTAATAATAATTCTTACAAAAATGAAAAAAATTTTGGTTTGCTTATTATAATTTGAAGTTTAATGATGCTACTATGTCTTTTTCTAAGTAGAAAAAGAGCATTTTTTTGTCGAAATAAAAAAGTTTTACAAAAGGGGCAAGGAGAGTGTCTTTACCTTTGTGAAAGAGCAGGCGAGGCAAAAAACCTGCAGTGATTGTTTTGTTTCAAGAAGAAAAAGAAATAATGAAAGTGGCATGAAAGAATAGGACTGACCAACTCTGAACCAAAGTTCAAGTAGGATCTTGAAAAGTTCTAGTAAAATTGTTTTTAATAGATTTTAAAAAAAACATAAGATTGGAGAGAAAATTTTTTTTAGTTTTTTTATACAGATTTTCAAATTCTCAATTCTTTAAAGATGGAAAAAAAAACTGTTTGCTCTTATTCTCTGTTTTCTCACTTTCTTTAGTTGGCATTCCGATATTTGTCTTGGGCATTGTTTCCTCTGTTAGGGTGCTATGCTGTCTACTCACTCCTTTATCTGGAACATAAAGGATGGTATTCATGGGTTTTAGGCATGCTTTATGGATTCTTATTAACTTTTGGTATGTGAATATTTTTTTTTTAATCTTCTATTTCATTTCTCATTTTTGTGTTTCATGTTAACTAATGCCAGGGTATCTGCGCACCTGAAAAGTTATGAGAAATCATGGAAAGTTATAAATTTCAGTATTGAACAAAATTTGTCATGATTTTACCTATTTAAAAAAAAGGAAAAACACATGAATTTAGGTCACTGAAAAATCTAATTTTTAATTTAATTTAAAAATGGAATTTACCCCCACCCACCCAATTTCATGGTGTTCGGAATATCTGAATTTGTAACAAAATCCCCACTCACAGTCATATTTTATTAAAATATAAAATGATTTTATTATGCTCCTTAAAAATTTTTTGTTCTTTCTAAAAATGAAAGGAAGAACATCATTTCTAGAGGGAACTATCTTTTAAACTTCTGTGATTTCAGAATTTTTGTTATTGTTTTTTTTATTTATTTATTTATTTTTTTTTATTAATTTCAAATCCTAGCTGAAACAAGGCAGTCATTGGTAAATGTTTTTTATTCCGAAATGAGAACAGAAAAATCTGGAGTATTTTTTTTTTCCTTTCCAATGAACAAGAAAAGTGTCTTTAGAATATAATTCTGCAGAAAAAAAAAGAGGAAAAAAAATTATTTGCTTTTGTATTTATTTCAGCTATTTTATTCCTTCAACTCTTTCTTTGCTCTGTTTTTTAAATTTAAAATCTTTAAATATGAAGATGCAGAGTTTTGGTTCTACCTATCATTTCACTTAATATTATTATAATGCTTTTTTAAATTTATTGTTTTGTTTTTGTTGGAGAAAATAGTAACTTCGTTAAGTCGTGAAAAGTTCTTGGAATTAATTAGTAATGAATTTGAAAGTCTAAAATGTTGCAGATACCCTGTTTTTATTTTTGTCTTTAAAAAAATGGTAACCACTCAAAGGATATTTAAGGAGAATATTTCAGCTATATTAAATTTATTCTTTACTATAAAATTATCAAAATATGTTTAGCTTTTCCTTTTTTTCCTTAAGTTTTTACAGCAGTTAAAAACAACATCACATTTATTCAAGTGGCAACCCTGTCTCTTGAATAAATGTGGGATAAAATTGCTTATCATTCCACATGGCTGTTGCAGTAACTGGGTGTTTATATATATTTATTTTAAATCACATTTTTTTATCCTTTTGTTCAGAGATGGATAATTGAACAGATGAATAGAAGTTTCTAAATAAATTATATGATTATTTTAGAGGAGTTTTATTATATTTAAATTTATGCAATAATTAACACATTCGCTTGTATGAATTAAATTAAAACAAGGTAGTTCTATAATTAACCTTCTTCAGTGTCGAAACGTTAAATGTAAGATTACACTACGAGCAAAACTGTAAAAGTATGCATATTTTAATTTAATCAAAAGTACAGTTATAATAATACTAAATTTGTATTTTTTAAAAATATTTCATGTTCAGATTTTAATATATGTACTAAAAGAATAAGCTTTTTTTATAACCGTTGTTGAATTGCCGACCAAATTTTAAGTTTACCGCTACCAATGTTCAGCTCTGTAGTTTTGAATTCAATCTAGAAGACAAGGGAAAACTACTGGATCAATTATTGGGAGAAATGTGCCTTCATGGAGAACTTTTTGATGGAAATAAGCCGCATTTGCATTACATGGAGAAGAAAACCTCTCTATGTAGTGCGACAGTAAGAGAACCCCACCCCATGAATCATCCTACCACTGATACTTTTTTTACGTCAGCACTGTGGTCGGTGTGAGCCGAATGCGGAATTTGAACCGACCAGCCATTGCCCGAATTCGTACCCCTTTCACCTCATTGGGTGGTGAGCGCTCTATCTCCTGCTCCACCATGGCTCAGAAGAAAATATGTTTGTGATTTTTTTTTTAAAATTGGTTAAGTATTTCATTGCTCCTCATTCACAATTTTTTTATGGGGAAGGCAACAGCAGAATAATAATAGGCTGCAACATTTATTTGAACAAGGCCTTGTGATTCTGAAATCCCTGCTTCAAAGAGGTGAAGGGAAATTGTAGTTATCAATCACATGTCAACCTTCTTCTATGAAAAGGTACCCCATCATAGAATCGAGTTAACATGTCTTATATACTAGTGAATTGGAATTCTATTTTTGTGTAGTGGTATATACAATACAGGACTGAAAGGCCCTCCAATCCAATCACCAATAATTCGAAATTGAAAGTAAATGAATTGTTCCCTGCTGACAGTTAGGTGCTTGGGAAGAGATCCATGCCGGGCGATTTGTCAAGCGATTGCTGGATGGTATTCCGTAGCAATATAATTCCACATTCGGCTTGCACTGACCACAGTGCTGGCATAAAATATCCTCTGTGGTAGAAGGCTGATGGGTTCGAATCCCCTTGCCGTCAGACTAATTGTGGGAGGTTTTAATAGTTTTCTCCTCCATGTTTTCCCTTCCCTCAAAAACCACCACGAATGCAACATTTCTCCCAATATTCTGGATTGGGTTCAAAATTACAACACTAATGAGTTGCATAAATCACAGTCGTAAACCCAAAAAATTGGGTCGGCTGTTCGAGGAAGGTTATGAAGTAAAAATAATATTGATAATAAAAAGCAATAATTCATCTCCTTTTCGTTTCGCTTCAGATGAAATCTCTTGTGGTTTTGTTCAGTGATTTTGCTACAATTTGAAAACTACCTGTACTTGATCTTCCTGATCCGTTTTTTACTAAAAGTGGTTCGTGATTTAAAACCATTTGAAATATTCTACATTTTCTAATTTCCATGCAGAATAAAATACATTTTCCCTTCAAACGCTGATATTTTAAAAAGAGAAAAAAAAATAATTTAGTAGTCTAAACACCCAAAATTTATGATCTGCGATATTGAGGATAAATTCTTTTCATCCATTTCTTAACAAACGTCTATAACGTGCACAAATTTCAAGGATATGATAATTCTGATATTTTAAAATCTTTTTTCTTTTGATAAAATGCGCCACCCCTAATTATGATTTCTTCTCCTGAAAAATTATGGAATGAATTAAATAAAATCTTCTAATTTTTTTCTCTTGAGAATTATAGGTATGTTTTTTTTTTTTTTGATAATAAACTGAAATAATCATTCTGCAAATGTTACTAATCCAATTTTTGCTTAGGTTTCATAATGATGACACCTCAACTTTTCATCAACTACAAATTGAAGTCAGTTGCACACCTTCCTTGGCGAATGCTGTCATATAAGTTCCTCAACACTTTTATTGATGACATATTTGCTTTTGTCATTAAAATGCCAACAATGTACAGAATCGGTTGTTTCAGAGATGGTGAGTATTTTTTTACTGTGTCCAAAGTAGAATTTGTCTGAAGTAAGAACTCGCCTAGAGTTTCGTCTAGACACGTAGCGGTGACTACGGTAACCAGGTATAACTATTTCAAGTAGGGGTGTTTGGTCGCTGCTTAGGACCGGTTTTGGCTCAGGTCGGTGAGAGAAATAGAATCTTTTTCTCCGGTCTATTGTGATAACCCTAGAGTGAAGAGAAGCTACCCACCCTCCCTGAAATGCGCAATTCTTGTTTTTATAGTAGCAGACGCCCTCAGACTTTGAGGCGAGAGTAGGGGAGTTCTTATTGTAGACAAATTATAGAGTTAGTGGTGTTTTGGGAAACTGCCCTCAGGCAAAGGAAAAGCTTTTTTTTTTTAAAAACATAATTCAAGATCAACTCAGTCAAATTTTCAAAAATTGAAAAAACTTTTCTTGCCTTTTTCTATGATTTATTTTTTTAAGATAAATGTATTGAAATATGGAATTGATTTTTTTAAAATGTAAAAAATTACAACATTCCTAAGCAGCAAAATAACTTGCGCCCTCATTGGACTAATATTCACAAATATTGGCCCTATATAAAATTGTGCTATTCACCCGATATTTTACAGCCGCTTTACAACCAATGTATTGGCCCTATATAGGACAAATATTAAAAAATCTAGACATCCCAATATTGGTCCATCAGTGCATATTCATTTACATTGATCGAATTTTAAGCTCAACTGGGGCCAAGGTAAAATTGTTGCTATTGATGATAAAAAGTTACATGACATACTGTGACTTTTATGAACAAGTGAACTCAGTTGATTAATGGATTTACTCTCTCCTTTCAAAACATTTTAGTAAAATGATGGGGTTGGTTAGTTATAGCTGCCAGCTGTACTGGATTTTCCAGTAGACTACTGAATTTTGCCACTTTCTCCTGGTCTACTGGTGTAATTAAAATTCTCCTGGTTTTTGTGCATTTTAGAAAATTCTCTAAAATTGAATAAGTTTCCTGGAAAAAAAAAATCCATATTGCAAAAGAATTTTCTTACAGATTATTGCTTATATATTTAAATAAGTATTACTGATACATAATGAAGCGAACCTCATTTATAGAAATCAGTTCAAAGTTTTTTTTGGTCTAAAATATTCAGTTTATTCAGAACTCTCTTTCTAAATTAAATCTTTTAACTGTTTTTGATGAATTAAATATTTATAATCTTACCTCTTATAATTTATATTCGAAATTAGGAGTAAACATAATGCATAACATTTCGAGTATGTTTAATGTGAAATCATGTTTGGAAAATATTNAAATTGTTTTTGATAAGTTAAATGCCTATTAATATTTGAAATTACGAGTAAACATAATACATAACATTTCAGGTATGTTTAAAATGTCAATTGAAACTGGAAAATATTACAGTTTTTCTACTTTGATGACTATAAAAATCCCTATGTGTAAAATATTTAGTACATTATATAGCAATTATCATAAAATTTATATTATTTCATAAAATAAACTGAATTTTCTCCTATCGTTAGTTGAGGTTGTAGTAATAAGCATATTTTTGGCTGTTTCATATACATCTTAATTTGGATATGATGTTAGGGTATTTATCCCAGAAAAATTAACAAAATCGTTTTGGGAAAATTGATTTATTAAGTAAATATTAAATTGAACATGGCCACGTTCCAAAAATTATAAAAATAAAGAAAATCAAGAATATTTTATGAAGATTCAACGGTTGGGACTGAAAGGCCCCCCAATCTAATCGCCAATAATTCGAAATTGGAAATAAATGAATTGTTCCCTGCTGACAGTTAGATGCATGGGAAGAGATCCCTGGCTGGTGATTTACCAAAAGATAACATTGCCAATAATAAATCCAACCCCCCGTAATCAATATTAAATTTAAAAAGAATTTGACGCAAGCGAATTGCCAAAAAGACTTGAGAATTAGTATAACCGTGTAGCTGAAACATTTTTGTGGTAAGAAATAAAAAGTTATGAATAGCTTTTTGTTTTCGATTTAGTTGCGACAGGGAATTCATGAGTCTTACATTGAAATAAAAAGTTAGCTGTTACATTGATTGTTAAGATAAGAATAAAATATTTTATATCAGCTTTTTATAAAATGTAATTAACAATAAATAATTGGTTTAATTTAACAAAAAATTGATTGAGAATGTTTGAAAAAAATAAGTTTAAGAAATTAAAGAAAAGCTAGGAGGAAATATGTAATGCCTATTGTGGCATCACATGCATATATTTTGTATCATCATTGTTAACACCGAACATACCATAACCGCTCAAATAACCATTTAAGAACTTTTGCAGCAAAAATGAGCTTATTGTTTTTGCACATGATTTTTACTAGCAATTATATACAGTTAATATTCTATTATTATTTTGTTTGCTTCAAATAATAATTGTATAATAATATCTATTTCTACCACAACTGGTCATATGACCGGGAGAAGAATTTATTGCTTTATAAGGTTATCGGATCAGAAATGACGATGTAATGAATGTTTAACGTATTGCCTTCGTTTAATTGCACATTTTTGCAAAGACTGTTGCGGAGTTAGTTCAGTAAGAATAACTGAGAAATCAAATTACAAGAAAGTACCTAAAATTTTAGGTTGGCATTTTTGTGTCAAAAACTAAATGTTTTGGTAAATAGCTTATATATTATTTTGATACCTTTACTTCATTTCTAATTAACTGTTAGTTTTTACCCGGAAAAATGTCGAAACAATCAAGACAACACAAGAAATAATGTTAATTAATAAGAATAATTATAGGATATATAGAAATAATAATAATGAGAAGAAATATGTTTGCGGAAAATGTACAATGGAAACATCCTGTATATGTAAAAAATGAATTGAGCAAAGAATTAAAAATTCTTATTGTGTTTGCAATACATAAAAATTGGCAATATACAATTTTGTTTAATTATAATAAAATAATTTCATACATTCAATCAAGAAACATATGGTCCAGTCATTATGGTAGAAATAGCGTTATATTAAGAGTTGGTAGAAATAGGTATATATTAAGAGTTGGCATGTTTAGTGTTAAATGTGTTGTATTTTATTTAAAAATGACTTCAACATTTTAAATATTGATAAAATCTTGCAGATATAGTTTTCTTCATTTATTTGTACCAAAGATGGATCTATCGAGTAGATCCAAAAAGAATGAATGAATTTGGAACAAGTGGAGAAATAGAGACGCAACGCTCCGATGCAAATGGAACAGTTAGCACTATAGCTAAACCCATTGAAGATAAAAAGAAAGACTAAATATATTGTCTTAAAAGATTCCGTTTTTATTATTATTTAAAGGGATGTTGTGATTATGAAAATTGTTTTCAGGAACAATCTGTGTAATATTTCTGTAGCTGTGTACTTTCAAATGTTCAGTAAAAGCTGTGTTATAATAAAATTCGTCTATGAGCATTCTACAACTGTATAGGTTCTATGACTATTTTAATTTAACTTTAAAAACATTTCTTCTAAGCCAAAATTCACATGTAAATGTTTGTGAATTCTTTAATCTGTAAACAGCGTTGCCACTCCGCAAGGAAATAAAAAATCATCTAATGTAACAGGTAAAATGCAAGTAATTTTGATTTTTTTTTTTCCTTTCTGAAAATTACATGTAATTTTCCCTGTATTTTAATCTTTTTTTTTTTCTGAAAAAAGGTGACCACTTAAAGTGCAAACAATGGGATATTTAAGGATGATATTTCAGCTATACCAAACTATTTAATTTACTATAGCATCATTTATGTATAGTAAATAAATTCAGCTGTTTTTTTTTTCTTGAAGTTTTTCCAGCAGTTAAAACTAATAAATATAGTTAACCCAATATTGCTCACAAAAGAGCACAGCAATTGTTGTTTCCTCTTAATATATTGTGTATAATATGTACAGGGAAGACACGTGGCATTTTTTTTCTTTCCAGATTTGCATGGCAACCCTGTTAAAAAAGATTCTTATATATAAATAGTTTTACTTGTTAACCATCAAGAAAGATAATCTAAATAATTTTAATAAGTAAATAAACCATTCAGATGATTTAAAAACAAGAAAATAGTTTATTTTTCAATTGCTATGATCTACCAAAATTTAAAGATTAATTGAACAAGCCCTCGGGTATTATAAAAAAAAGTTATTACATTTTAAGAAAATATATTACATGCATATTGTATTTAGATGAAAGCAATGGTGTATTTGTGAAGGTCAGTCAAACTTGTATAACTCAAAGTGTATAGTATTTCAATTTTTTGATAACTAAAAACAATTTTAAATTCTTAGTCAAGACTCAAGGAATAGAAGAAAACTAATAATTTTCTAGAGAACTGCACTCTTAAATTTCTTTCAATTTTACTATTGTTAATGTGATCCCTTTCATAAGTTTGAAACCTTTTAAAAAATTATGTCAGAATTTTTTTTTTTTTTTAATATTCTTTTCTATGCCTAAAAGCTCTGGAAAAAAAACAGCAAATATTTTTTCATAATTCATTTTCAAAAATATTTTGATAATACGAAAAAGTTAAAAGAAAAGTTTTATTTTTATTCAAGTTTCACAAAATCTTTGTTTTTAAAGAATAATAATAAACTGAAACAAGACAACATGAATTTAATTTTTTGGGTAGTGCTATTTTCAATAACTGTGAATGTTTTGACTTCTGTCACTGTTTTGAGTTATTGAAGTTTCCCTTTTTATTGCAATTTTTCTATTGATTGGTCCTTTAAATTCTTTCTAGGTGGTTTCTTTTCAGAATTATTTAAAAGTATTTATACTGACTAGAGAGTTGCCACTCCACACGGAAAATGCAGGAGATTTAAAAATCGCCTAAAATAAGAGGGAATTTTGTGTTTTTATTTTTAGAAACTGGAAAAATACAGAGAATTTTGCTTCATCTAAAAAAAATGGTAACCATTCAAAGAGCTACCTATGGAATATTTAAGGATATTTCAACTATATTAAACTAATTCATTTACTATAGCGTTATTTGTTTTAAGTTTTTTCAGCAATTGTTATATTTAGCCCTATACAGCTCATAGAAGAGCACAGTGATTGTGATGTATGTTGAGTGAAAACACAGGGAATTGTTTCCATATTTGAGTGGCAATCCTGTACTATAACACAGCTTTTTCTTTTGATACTTGTCAATGTGAATTCTCAATGTTGTAAAGTTTCCATCTGTATAAAATATAGTTAATATTGTCATTTAAATGTTGAGAATAATCGTGAGGTATTTTGTTCCCAAATTGAATTGGTACATTTGTTAGATCAATTTTATACTTTCAAATACATAATCATTTTATTATGAGCATAAGAATTTCTGCAAAATAGTTTGAGTAGGTATTACTTTCATTAATTGTTACTTACTTTTTTGTCAAAGATTTTTATGAAGAAGACCGTTAAATGTTCAGTTTCTTTTCTTATTTTAGAATTTTTTTATGGTTTATTATTATCTATTTTTACTGTGAACAGTCTCATAGTTTGTTTAGAGTTACTTATAGTTATAAATTTTGATTTCTCTAAAAGCTTGACTTTTTTTACACATAATTACTATTCATTAACTTAAATTTTTATATATTTATTTCTTAGCACTGAGGCAGAATCATGTTGATACGGCGACGTCGCAGAACGTAACTGAGTTCTTGCAATAAATTTTTTTTCCCCTGCAGAAATCTTCAAAAGATGCCTTTCTCGCTCATAGGAGAACTGAAAAAAATTATTGAGATTTTTCTATTCTTATTTGAGAATAAAGAAGTAAAAAATTTGGTTTTCTTTTCTGTAGAAATTTTTGTTTTAATTTTTTATGCAGTTATTACTGTTGATTTCCACATAGTTTTTAAAATTCGATATTTATTACAACAACTGAATCTCGAAATAAAAACACTCATTTAGTAGCCCTTGTTTGAAGAGTCCAATTTGCGTGATTTCTTCGGCGATGCTTTTTTTTTTTTCGGTATTCACGATTTTAATGTGATGATGATTTACAAAATGCAAAGAAGGAAATAATTAGTGTGTTTTCCCCCTGCAAAATGCCAGAATATCACCCATAATATTAGAAAAAAAATATATTATATATTTAATTAAAAAATTATTTTATTTGATCCTTAAAAAAATTGTTTTTGAAGTTTCTATTACTTTAATTTAGTAACATATATTTGTTATTTTTAAAAGTATCTCTTACAGAAATATATTAGTATTAGAAAGGTATGTCGCAGAAAGTTCAAAAAAATTCTGCTACAGGGTTGTTTAGTAAAATGAAACTTCTTGTGTCTAAATTTTTAAAAATGTTACATTTGCATTGCTGCCAACTTTACTGGATTTTTCCAGTTTCTCCTAGTCTTTATTCATTTTAGAAAATTCCCTAAAATTGAGTAAGTTTTCAAAAAAAATCCCTATTGAAATAAAATTTTTGCGCAGAATATTGCTTGCTTGAATATTTAAATAAGTATTGCTAATATATAATTAAGCTAGCCTCATTTATAAACATCAGTTTAAATTTTTTTTTGTGCGAAAATATTCAGAACTCCCTTTCTAAAATAATTTAAAAAATCCTAATTATGAATTAAATGCCTATTACTATTCAAAATTATGAGTAAACGTAATTCACAACATTTCAAGCATATTTAATGCCAATCATCATCGGAAAATATTGCAGTTTTTTTATTTTGATGTCTATAAAAATTCCCTATATGTAAAATATTTAGTACATTATGCAACAACTATTATGAAATTTATATCATTTTGTAAAATCTACTGGATTTTTTTCCTGTCTATGTTGGCAGCTATGCATTTGCTATATTGACTAAATCTACTGCCTCAAAATCAATATTTACTTGAATACGTTTCATTTTTAAAGGTTCTGTTTGTTTGATAGTTACCATTTTGTCTTTAAAAAAATTTATTTTTATTTTAATAAATTATATTTTGATTTTAATAGTATTTAAATTTTCTAATATATTTCATTTGATTAGTTACATTAGTTTTTTTATTATTATTATTATTTCATTTAAGTGTAGACTTATGTTCTTTTTTAAGCAAGATAATTTTTTTTTAATTGCATTCGTAGTCAAGATATATTTTTATTCTCTTAATAGAAAATAAAAAAAAGAGTTTATAAATGAAAAAATATACTATTTTCTTTATTTATAATGCTTAAAAGTGATTGTTAGTCTTGTATCTGTAATTATTTATTTGGCTTTAAAAAAAAAAAAAAAAGACCATAAAATGGTACACATTATACAGTTGTTAGCAAATGTTTTTTTCTTTCTTATAAATGAATAAAATGTATTGCATCTCTGCATTAATATTATTTATTCAAGTCTTTTTTTTTCTTTTTCAAGGTTTTTAGGTGTCTACCAATCATTAAAAAGCTGTGTTATGCATCTACATTTCCATACCATATTATTAGACGATAAGATTCTATGTAAAAGTATAATTATCAGGTGATCTTATTGTATACAGCTGTATTGTTTTTACTCAAATGAAACTGGTTTGCATTCGTTTACGCTCCTGTATCAATGGGTTAACATTGTAAATCAATACGTTAAAAATAAATACAAATAGAAAGTACAATACAGAACCCGTTATCCGGAAATCAGAAAACCGGAACGAAATTCAATTAGTTTTCCTGCCATTAAAAAAAAAATTAATTTTTTTTTCCTCATAGGATTTTTCGTTCTTATTTGAAAGATGTTTACCTTACCATCATTTTGGAAATAATCATTAGTGTATTATTTCATCGTTTTTTCTTCTTTTTAAGATAATTTCCAATTTTTTTTTTTTAAGTTGGGTTTAACTATTAAAAAAAACGGCTTTTTGTAGCGATTCAGAAAACCGGAAAAATCAGTTATCCAGAATATCGATGGTCCCGATCGTTCCGGGTAATCGGTTCTCTACTGTATATAAAAAAATCTTCTGAATAAAATCCCATTACATACATGTTTAACTATAAAAGTATTGCCTATAAACTCGTGCAAATCAATGTAATTACTAAAAAAAACTACAGTGTGTCTAATAATTTGATCTAATTATTACATTATAATTATATACCTGATATAATATATCGTCTAATTTAACCAATGGATACATTAACGTAAACAAGTGCAAACTGGTTTCAATCGAATAAAGCTGCATAGTATCACCTGATAATTAAGATTTTACATAGAATCTTAGAATGCGTCTAATAAATTGGCATGGAAATGTAGGTGTATTTAACACTTGGGATTTAAGTTTCATATAATAAAATATTTTGCCAGGACTAAAAATATTCCTCGTAAAATTTTTGCTTTAATCATTTCTTTTTTTCCCCAGGGTTGCCACTCTATATAGGGAAAACAAGAAAAAACTGGAAAATACGAATTTCAAAATCTCCAAAATGAACAAAGAATTTCTTTACAAACCAGGAAAATGCAGGGAATTTGTTTTTTATTTTCGCATTTTAAAAAATGGTGACTACTCAAAGCGCAATCTATGGGATAGTTAAGGAAGATATTAATACAAAAAACTATTTCATATACTATAGCATTATTTAAGTATGTTCAGCTGTTCCTTTTTTACTCCAAGTTTTTCCTTTTCCAGCAATTAAAACTAGTATAGTTAGCCCATACAAGAGTACAGTAATTGTGTACAATACATACAAGGAAAACACAGAGAATTTTTTTACCTTCCAAATTTGAGTGGCAACCCTGTTTCTGCTTTTAAAAAAAGATAATTCCTTCGAAAATCAATTCTACCTTTTAAGACGATTGTTACTTCCCTTGAGGCCTTAGACTGGTCGTCAGTAAAAATTCCCTGGAAAATGTTCGGAGGCTTGAAATGTCTACAAGTTTTTTAATGGCTTTTGTTCATCGGGAAGTTATCGCTTCTTTACTTTCTTAAAACAGCAGCTATGGAGGGGGGGGGGTAGAGTGGTGGAAAAATTTATACAAAAGTAATGCATCATCGTAGTTGGCCAGACAGCCCAATGCCTTCCTCTGAAGATTTCTCCATAACGACTTTGATCATAACTCATTCTCTTTGATTATAATTGCAAGAAAATCAAATGGCCTATCTCAACCGCGGCCTTCCCCGCTTTCTGTTCCAGTGGGTCTAAAAAGCAATATCTATTTTATTGTATTGTCATCACTCATTCAAATCCTGTGGGCATCCTATTCATTCTATTTATTTTTATGTTTTTAATATCAGGTTGTTTATAAATCTTGTACAGCTCAAAGTTATTGTTTTCATTTACACCACAGAGTATACTCCGCAAAATCTTTCTCTGAACTATTGCGATGCAATTTTCCTCCAGTTTTGTCATTGTCCAAGCTTCAGAAGCATATGTCATGAGTTTTGTAAATTAAGAGCTTTGTAATTCAAGAAAGAAACCTAGATCTTAATAAGTCTTCTCATCCTGTAGACAGCCCCAATTGCCAGATAGAATTTACTACAATATTTTCCCCTTAATATTTTTTAATATTTCCATAATGGTTTCTTTTAGAATTACATTTAATTTAGGTTTCAGTTCCGTATAGTTTCCTAACTTAAAAGATTTTAATCTATTTGAAAATCAAAGCAGAAACTAAACTTCTTCTGCTCTATGCCACCTGTAGCCTATTTCGATCGCCAATAGACAACAAAGAGACATTTTACTTATTTTTAATATAAAAAAACGCACAGTTAACTTTAGGTGTACAAGAGTAAAAATGAACATTTAAATATTAAAAAAATGAAAATAAATATACAATGACCAGAAATATATTTAAGTTACAATGAAAGAAAATAAATAAATTTATACATGAAGTGCTTTAAAACTTCCGATTTTTTAACAAGTTGAAATACCTGAAAAATAAAAGAAATTTACTATAATAATTTTAAAAACAACTAAAATATAATTAAAACTGCAGAAGATAGTAAAAAAATATTATTATAAAAGTACAAACAATATAATAGAAAGAAATTATACTGACGCTTAATTTTTTTTTTTGCTTTACTAGGAACTGCATTATTAACAGAAATTAAAGAACATGAAAAACCCTATTAAAAGAATACTAATTTTATTGTAATAAACCGTTATTAAAACAAGCATAAAGTTATGCTAAAATTAAAAATTTATCAAAAAGATAGAAGTCTCAAATTTGGACCATGTGTTCCTTTTCAGATAGACTAAAAAAGTTTTATTTTATAATTATCAAGATTGGCCTGGTTGACAGGACACTGGACTCGCGTTCGTGAGAATTAATAACTATCAGTTCAAATACTTCAAAAATCGCAGAAAAACATTTTTTTTTCTACAACCAAAATCTTAGCACCTAATAGTTTGCATTAATTAATTCTATTCAGCATCAATAAGCAAAATTTTATTGCAAATTTTCATAATGCATAAGATTTGAGTCTCAATCCAAAAGATGAGGCAAAACTGCAGAAACCTTCGAGAAGAAGAAATTAAGAAGATTTGGCATTTAATACATACAAGACCAGGGTTACGAAGATTTGGCATTTAATATATACAGACAGGGTTCCCACACTTTCAACAAAGAAAAAATTAAGCACTTTAAAGGACTTTTTATTTTGAAAAAATTAAGTACTTTTTTGAAAATAACATATGCATATTTTTTCGAATATACATATGCCATCAGTGACAGTGCAAATTATTTACCTTTCAAAAAAAATTAATAAAAACAATTTTATTATAATGTAAGCACTGATATAATTGTATTAATTAACAGGGTTTGCCAAAGAATTACCAGGCAAATTTGCCTATCCATAAGAAATAAAAATAATAGCGTAACAATCTGAAAATTGAAGAAAATTTTACATTGCAACAAAACAAATTATAAATAGTTACCAAATATTTAAATTTCTCGTTAGAAGCAAATCAAGCTTTCTTATTTAGTACCCAGGAAAATTTTTTTAAGTATTTTTAAAAAACACTTGAGGTTTTCACCAAAATACCCCAGGTTTTTGATGAAAAACCTAGGTGGGCTGGGATTTTTCAAACCCTGTTTCTTACAAATCTGTTTCATTTTCAGTATAATCATGAATTTTAAAAAATGCTATGCTTTCTATAAAATTACAGTTACTTATTATACATTGAAATATTATACAAATTTGTTTAATTCAATATTTTAGGAAATAGGTTTAGTTATGGATTCTAGTTCTAATTTTTTTCTGATACTTTTCTTAGCGTTTTAATTCATCCCTATAACAGAGTTGCCACAGGCGACTAAAATGCAACTATTTTCAGCATGAGGCGACTATGGCAACTTTTTTTTGCCTGAAAAGACTAAAAAAGCAACTATTTTTACGAAAAGGAGACTATTAGGATACTTTTCTGTACTCCTAGCAATGTTTTTTAGCATAATTGGGTTGAAAACCTGCAGCCCGCAAAATCTTCTGAAGACACTGAATTTCTTTTCTTAGGAAATGTAAAATAAAAATTTAAAAAAATTAAATAAATAATTAAAACATTAAAAAATAAAAAGTTTTAGATTGCAAATTTGAGTCATAACTTTTTAATGAGTTCAATTTGCATAGATTTAAGTCTATTTCATTTCTCGATCGCCTTTTGAACGGTAATTGCTAAGAAATTCTGCATGATTTTAAAAATCCCTATTTTTAATACAATGCATGAATTTTGAATTTGAGTATCACTTTTCACAATATATATGTACATATATATATTTGCTAAATCAATTATTGATGAAAGGGAAAATTTCTTAGAAAAAGTGTGTGTGTGTTTTTTTTAATGAAAAAGTATTTTTTGAATGAATTCTAGTAATTAAAAGTATTTAATTTTCTGCAAATATACTAATTTTTATATATAAAAATTTAGCGCTAGAACACTAACGTTTACATAAAAATTTTTGTATTTGCCACCAACTTGACGAAATGTATCATGGTATATGACAATTAACAGGGATGAGATTAGCCAAAAGGCAAAAAAGCTGAATTTCCACAATAGTAAATTTTATGCAAGCGCAACCCTTTAATAATAAATTTCAGACAGTTTAAGGTGATAAATAATGTGTTGACATACAATTGGTACTAATCTATTATTATATAAATGATTACATTGATACTTAACATTTAGTGAAAATAAAAATTACCAATTGAAAAAAAAAAGCTGGAAATTATATTTTTCCTCAGTTCACATAAGAGACAATTATTACTTGAAAAACTACCTGGTTTAGCAAATTAAAACTACTGNAAAGAACCAATATATTAATAAAAGCTTTCTTCCCCTTGCCTGTAGCCACCCACACACACATTAATTTTTGTCTCTCTAAAAGGCTTTACCCTCGATGCATGGTCTAATTCTACAACATTTTGTTTTAAAAAATTGAACTGTAAAATTGTTCCTATCAACCATAATGATGCTAAAAAAAATAAAGGAATTTTAAAAACCTTGAACCAAAATGAAGTACTTTTAAGGACCCTTATTTACCAAATTAAAAATTGAGTAATTTTTAAGGACCATGGGAACCCTGAAGACCTTCTGAAAATGAGAGAGCAAGAAATGAATAACTAACCTCAAAAAGCACTTCCAATTAATAATTTGTCATCAGAAGATATGGAGACAAGTCTAGACTTTTCTAGCATATGATGGTGATGGTCATCACTCGTTTTAGAAGGTGTTTCCATGTAACCAGATAGTACAACACTCTAGATAACAATAAACAAAAATTATAATAATTTTTTTTTTTACATTTATTAACTAAAATTTTAAATATTAGTAATGCTTAATATTATCAAAAAACATTATATCCATCATCATCTTCATAGTTAGTCAGACAACCCAATGTGGGCCAATGCCTTCTTCAGAAGATTTCTCCATAACGACTTCCGATTTATCTTTGATTTCCAATTCTTATCACTCATTGCAAGATAATCATCCCATCTCAACAGCTTTCTTGTTTCAATAGGTCTAAAAAGCAATATCTTTTTCTCTGTTTAAATCCTGTGGGTCATCCAATTCATTCTATTTATTTTTATGCATTTAATAATTTTGGGTTGTTTACAAATCTCATACAATTCAAAAGTTAAATCTCCTTCGTCAGTTATTGTTTTTATTTACACCACCTACAGTCTAGCTTTTGCATAGGTATTTATAAATTTATGATATACATTTATTGAACCTAAGAAGCATTGAAGAGATATAATTACTTTAAATACATTAACGTTATCATTGTCAGCAGTTTTTTGCAAATTTTTAGCAAAAATTTTCTTAGGGTGATTTAAATGATCTTCAAAAGTGCTTAAAAAAATAACAACATCATCGAAATAATTAGCTACAAAGGTAACTTTATGGAAGTAGCAAGTTTAGTACAAATTCTTAGCCATAGTGGTTAGTAGCATGTAGTTTCTTTGTAGGATACATTTGAATTTGGATATAATGTAGGGATATTTATCTCAGAAAAATGGATGAAATAGTTTGGGAAAAATTGATTTATTATGTAAAACTTAAATTGAACATGGCCACATTCCAAAGTTATGAAAATAAAGAAATCATTCTCCTCACATCAAGAATATTTTGTATTCAACAGTTGGCCAATAATTCGAAATTGAAAGTAAATGAATTGCTCCCAATCGACAGTTAGGAGTATGGGAAGAGATAACATAACCAAAAATAAACCCAACTTCCCATAATTAATATTAAATTCGAAAATAATTTGGATTATATTAGGATTGTTGGTAGGAATTTTGACTTATCTAGGAAAATTGTTCATTTTGTCACTGATAATAATTATAATTTGGACTAACTGACTTGGCTGTCGTGTTTTACAATTTTGACACCGATTATTTATTTTCCACTCAATTTTGAATCTTTTTGTTTGTTTTTATTTAGTGGTAAAACAGTGGGAACTTTAATAATTAGTTTTAGAAACAATTGCAAGCCATTCAATAAGGGTTTTGGCTTTTTTTTCAAAATCATAAAGGTCTTAATCTGGGGGGTAATCCTTTGCACATACTCTCAATTATATGTTTGTTAATGAAGGCAGTTACAGTTAGTAAATTTGAGTTGAGGCATCTGACTGGCAGATCAATCATGTGATTCTCATTTAGAAAGTCAGAAATACAATTCTAACAGAAAACAACAAAAAAAATAAGACGTGTGTTAGCAGGACAGCACTTCATCAAGGGACACATTGTCTACCAGCACACTGGAGCCTTTCTGTAGTCAGTGGTGAAATCAAAAACTGACAGTGCCCCGAGATCCCATAATGGAAAAACTAATAAGAAAAAGCAATTAGAAAAATTCAAATGTATAAATGTAAAGAAAAATTGATGACAAACAATCACTATTTAAAAGTACATAGAGTAAGTCTTGATAATGATTTAAAAGTACACAGAGAAGACTTAATAAAGAGACATCCACACATAAGAAAAATAAATAAAGTTACAGTTATAATAGCCACATCAAAATAAAATATAAACTGCCAATTCATTAAGAAAACTTCAGAAATAAATCAAGTGCTGATCCCTTTTTGAAAATCTTGAAAAATAAAACAAAAAAAACATTCAATGAGTAAAATTTTTAAAAAAGTGCTGCGACCTATATGCTTCAGGAACATAAAACCCTAAATTTCACCGCAGAAACCTATTTATGTGGGCTTCAATTTTGGCTGATTTAATTGAACGTTTGAGTCAGAATATCATAATTACAAAAATTAAAGGAAAATTATTATCCTCAAATGTAATATTACAAAGATGAGCAAGAAGCATTTTGTATGTCACCAAAAATATTATTGCAAACCATTTATTTAAACTTTGTGGCATGCCATATATCAGGGGACTCAACAGTGGTAATTCCCACCTGCACATTGTTATTCCGGTATCAAAAAGGCAAATATGTTGTTCACTCTTTCATGGGCATCATATTTGGTGAGACAACATTTCTCCCACAGACAGCACAGAGAAGAAAAGGAAAAAAAATATCCATGCCTTGTCCAGGATTCGAACCCAGGACCTTTCTGATGCTTTTTCAAAAAATTAATGTCTTTAAAATTTTAGATCATTGATAGTTTCACAACATGAAATTCTAAATAAATTATATGCAGCATAATTTAAATTAATTCCTTATAAATTTACTTTTATCTCCAATTAACATTTATTATTCTACCAGAAAAAATATTTACAAATGAAAGTGATGCTAGTTGTTCTAGTTGTAATATTTTTAAATAAAATATACAAGAATTTTTAGAATAAATGTGATCGATGATTTCTTGAAACTTCTGGACCTTAGATTTCCGAAAATATCCCAATATCGAAAATATCCTAATCCATCTGACTGCCTCTAGAGCAAATCTCATGTGCTTACAGTGTTTGTGGGAGGGTGACATGTCACCTAATAATAATATATAAATATGAACAGCGACCGCAGAAGAATATATGTGTGTGTAACAAACGAAACAACCTCCGTGTAAGAAAACCAACAAAAGGCCAATAGATGTCACTCACCCTGTAATTAAACTGTTTTGATGTAAAAAAAAAGAGAGAGTTGGAAAAGCAAACCCGCGTGGTTCAAAAATGAGTGTGTGACTCATCAGTCTACGTAACTCATGTCTAGTTTCTGTTAAATATTGAAGTATCATCCTTATTGGTTTTTCCATTGTTTTAATTGTATTAATTACATTGTACGTAAATATACATTATATATAAATATACATATTTATATACACATACAGTGGTGGCCAAAAGTGTGGACACTTTTTGAAAGTTTCACGTTTTTCAACTTTGTGTGCTTGTAGAATATATTAATTTTCACTTAAATACAAATGTTTATGTATCAAATTGAAGGTAATTTAATGTAAAATTTAATAATAAATACAGTATTACAAAAAAAGTTATAACACTAATAATAAGAACTATCTTAGATTTGCATTTCTTTAAAGTGATACTTACACAATCAATACTTAGTAGGATAACCCTTATTTTTTAAGACAGCTTCACAGCGTCTTTTCATCGAGTGAACGAGTGTTTGGAGTTCATCTTTCGTAATCACATGGTGCCAAGAATCAATTATAGCTTCACTTAGTTGTCTTTTATTGGATGGGCGTTTTTTTCGTACGAGAATTTTCAAACGTCGCCACAAATTTTCAATTGGATTGAGATCAGGGCTGTTTCCTGGCCATGGTAATATATCTATGCCTTTATTTTGAAAACATACTTTGCATACTTTTGCTGTGTGGCATGGAGCTGAATCCTGCTGAAAAATAAATGGTGCGTTGTTGGAGAAGAGATCCCTGATGGAAGGTATCAATCACTTGAATTCGGCCCACACCATCTGCAGACATACATGCCCAAATCATGACATTTGTTGGATTTTTTGTAGTTGCTTCAATGCAATCAGGATGAAGCGCTTCGCCTACTCTACGTCTCACGTATTTTCTATCATCACTTCCAAAGAGCGATACTTTACTCTCATCACTCCAGATTACTTGCTTCCATTGATTTTCTGACCATTAAATGTGTTCTTTTGCCCACTTAACTCATTTTCCACGTTGCTTTTGATTTAAATATGTTTTTTTCCCTCAGAATTCTAGCTTGTAGTTCAAATCCTGATAACCTTCTTCTTATTGCTCTTGAACTTACTGCAATACCCGCTTCTTCCAACCTTAACCATTAACCGATAAATGCTCTTTTAGGGGCATAGGCGCGTGGTTAAATGTTGGTGTCAGTGTGCAATACCCGCTGCACTCATATCACATCGAATGGCATCTGATGAAATTTTTCTATCTTGAAGGCATAGCCATTTCATTTTTCTATCGGCAGTAGCACTTGTGAATTAGCCCCCCGCCTGATTTGGCTTTATTTTCCACTGATTTCGTTTTTTCATAATGTAAACAGAACTTACGTACATCAGAACAAGTCACTGAACCACCAACTTGTCTTGCAATTTCAGCATAAGAGAGGCCATTTTCTCTCAATATGACAATTCGGCTTCTTTTTGTAGATGTCCAGTTAGTTCTTCTTGTTGATGACATTGTTTAAAATTTGTTTAATTAAAAAAAGGGACTTCAAATATTCAAAAACAGCAATACTCTATTTAATTGTACTAGTATGCATCATAATATTTCCACAACAATAATAACCTAAACTATAGTTACAGTCATTTGATTGGTCCTAAGAACAGAGTTTGTAATTGGCTAGTACGTTTTTATTACAAAACAAGTCGTTATTCAAGACGATTTGTGTTTGTTCTACTAAAATGAGCATAACTGTTTTTGTAATATAGATATTTTAATTCTGTTTCTGTTATTAAATTTTACATAAAATTACCTTCAATTTGATATACAAACGTTTGTATTTAAGTGAAAATTAATATATTCTACAAGCACACAAAATTGAAAAATTCAAAAAATGTCCACACTTTTGGCCACCACTGTATATATATATATATATATATATATACATACATAGAGCACTATAAATAAACACAAAAAGGATATAAAGAGAAAAATGAAAATTAATAAGTTTTATTCACTGTGCATAATCTGCAAGTATATAGAACTAAATATTTTGAAATATTTTTTGAACTTACACATACACACAGACATATTTAGCACAATAAAGACAAAAAGAAAAGGGAGAAAAACAAAGAAAATTAATAAGTTTTATTAACTGCGCATAAGCTTCTAGCATATAGAACTCATAAAATAAGTTAAAATATTGAGAAAATATGGTAAATAATAAAAAATAATGACAAGAAAAGAAAAATTATTAAAAGTATTTAAAAAAATTATTTTTTATTTATCTAAAAAGAAAAAAAATTAAAAATCCGGAAATCAAAATAAAGAAAATATATTATCTCTTCATCAGCTAACACGATTATATCCACAAAAAAGAGTACTTTCTAATATTGTATCAATATAGCCATAGCAAAATATATCCATACAATAGTGTGAGGAGCACTCAAGAAAATTTAAACGAAAATAGAACATATTAAGTAAAATATATATATATGAAATAAAACATATCAAGCAAAAAACAGAAAATAAAATGTAAAGAAATTACAAAACAAAACATGAAAGGAAATCTATATAGCGATGAGCAAATTAAAGTAAACATACGCGTACTGAAATCTCTTTAAGAATGATTTAAAATATTTTCTTAACAAGATTGCAAGATTACAAAATATGAAAACAGAAGCATAAATAAAGTGATATCTTATGGCACATTCTACTGCAACACGGTAACTTAATGAGTTCTATTTTCGTTAAAATTTTTTTTAATGCTCCTCACACTATTGTATTAATATATTTTGCTTTGGCTATAATGATACAATATTAGAAAGCACTCCTTTTTGCGGATATAATCGTGTGAGCTGATGAAGAGATTATATTATATCCTTTCTTTATTTTGTTTTCCAAATTTTTAATTCTTAGATAAATAAAAAATATTTTTTAAATACTTTTAAAAAATAATTTTATTAATTTTTCTTCTCTTGTCATTATTTTTTATTATTTTCCATATTTTCTCAATATTTTAACTTTTATAAAATGTGAAGGGGCAGACCTTCTAAAACCCTTTAAAGATTGGAAGCGCGAAGTCCCTCTTCACTGTTAGCCCGATTTCAGACCTTAATATTGACCTATAATATTTAAGTTGGACCACATATTATATTACAGGGTAATAGTGTACCCTACCATGGGAAATAATTATAGGTCAATTAGGGGGTACACAGCGTGACCCTAAAGTTTACTATGTATGC